TGCTTGTAATTAACCTGTTTTATCATCACAGCAGGAAGCTAGCCAGACTAAAGCCTTTGCTTTCTAGGCTAGTTGCTGAAACCTTAATCCACAGATGTGGATCATCCCAGGCAGAGTACTGCAGTTGTTCCAATTATTGTCCCTTGGAGGCAATTTCTATCAATGCTAGCAGACTTTACTTGGCCTACTTTTCTCTTTTCAAGGTACTGCCCCAGGTTAGAAGTGGAGTAGGCAAAATAGAGCAATAGGTGGATTTCACCGTCTGCTTAGTTTTTGGATCTTTTCAGCCACTAAAGAGACCACCACATCACATTCTCACGTAGCCTTATTGTGGCAGATCCAGACTTTGCGCCTTTCCTTGTTGCCTTTGAGGTGTAACTACATAGCATAACCAGCAGCAAAAAAAAACTATTGCACAAAGCAGAAGACGACAACACCCATTGTCCAACACCCACCACAGGACGGGTGAGCTGGCAGATGCCACGGTCATAGGAACACCCCTGCAATGGAAGGAAGAACAGAAGAGTGCAGGAGAGTTCATTGTCAAGCTGAGGGAATGCTGCATGACCCCTTTTCTTCACAGCTGCCGGGACTCCTCGCAGTCACTGTTGTGCTGTAACACTGGGTGTCCTGGTTTGATATCTATGAACAGATTTTAAATAAGGCTCTAGGGCTTAGACCTTGATGTCCTCACGGCCAGGGGAACCCCCCCAGACAGACAGGGGTTCTGTGCACGCATCTGATGGCAGAGCAGAACTGCAGTAGCAGAGCAGGTTCTCAGCCAGCTTCCAGGTGGCACTTCTGTCCTCCATTTGCACAGTCTGATGACCCCGGGATGGAGTCCTGGCCTCCCTGAAATCGAAGGTTCTTGCCATTGATGGCGATGGGCCAGAGTCAAAGCTCCCAGTAACTGCAGCCCAAAGGAAGCTGGACAACAGCGACATGCTCAGAGCCCAGCCTACAGACACGTTGCCTGGGCCACGCTGCTTGGCTCTGCCATGGGTTATGCTCTCAGTTCCAAAGAAAGGTTGGAATTCAGGCCTGAAGCCGGATTGCACTGGTGGTAAAAATGGACTAGAAATTGGCACTCCCTGCATGCACCTTGCTGGAAATGAGACCTAGTTAGGACACAGGCCCAGCTTCCGCAAAGCACTGACCATGCTGTTGTAGGTACGTGGCCCAGCCTCATCCTTGTTCACTCCCTATTGAAAGTCAATAGGATTTGAGTCTATCTGCGAAACCAGCGAGGAGTCCCATGGCACCTTGGAGACGAGCAGACTGATTTGGGCATCAGCTTTCCTGGGTAAAACCACTTCGTCCTCGTCTTTTAATCGGATTTAAGCACATGCTGGATTGTTTTGTGGAATCAAGGAATATGCTCCCTGCACAAGATTTGCCGCCTGAGTTTAACAATCTGGTGCGAACATTTCACTCCAGCCTCAGGTTCTGCTACTTGTATAAATGAACAATGTTCCCCTAACCCTGTCTCTTGATAAGCAGCCTCTGTATTAAAACTGGGGCTGTAAATGAGTAGTCAAGTATAGGATTCACCAACAAGCCTTTCACACTACCAAGTCTGTGTGGTTATTTCAAAATCTGTATTCCTGCTTTTCTCAGGTACTAACGCGGCTCTGTAGTTTAAACATAGTAGGAGCTGGATCTGGGCAAAGGTCTGGGACCTACCTCTGTCTGCGGAGGGAGGGTGCAAGGTCTCCACTGTGATCCCCTGCAGACAGGGACTGCTGCTGGAGCAGCCTTTGCCAGCAGCGAGACTGGCCCACTGTGGGCAGAGGCTGCTTTGTGGCAGCCTCCTCCCACCCCCACTCCTCTCAGACCAGCCTTGTGGACAAGGACTGCTGCCACCCCACCCTCCTGCCTCTGGATCAGAGGCAGTATCACAGGGCAGCAAGCAGCCAGGCTGCGCAGGGCCCTGGTTTTTAATTTGGCTCCCCTCGCGGACCAGCTGCTGCCTGCCTCCCCAAGCTGCTGCCTCTGCCACAGTGCAGAGAGCTCCCTATGAGTGGGGCCACATTGCATTGGCTGCTGCTGCCCTCACCCCCGGAGTATAGGGGGTCAAGTCAAGTACCTGCTAGCTAACATCCCTAATGGAAATGCTGCACTTCCTGACAGCCCGCACCTTACAGCGGGATCACAAGTCATACATACCAAGCCACTCAACTGCAGCAGCTGCAAGATGTGGGCTGGCAGGGTCATGTATAGAAGAAAGGTTTGGAATTACAGGCTCTCAAGTCTTCGCTATGTGTTTGGGAAGACATTTTGGTGGTCTTGTCCTCCAGTTATTCCAGCTGCAAAACTGCTCTGAAGTGAGGTTTTTCTGTAAAGCAGCTACCACATGAATTTGATTTCTATAACACTGAACCATGCACAATTTAAGATGACAGATTAACGTGAGTTCAACATAAGTTTGGGGTCAGATATTGCTCCCAATTACTTCATGATGAGCAGGGTTACCCCTCTGCCCCCACATCTTAAATATACAAACACTCAGACATCATAGGTCTGTCTTGGAAAAAAGTGGTAGAGATTTTACATAAAATCTGACACTGAAGAACCAAAGGGACAGTTTTACAGAAAGGAATAATTTGGCCAAAAACCAACTGGAAAGAAACTAAGCCAGTCCCAACTTTTTTGTTTTGTTTTCAGATAATCTAGTCAATATACGGTATTGAAATAACTTTTCAATTTGCATGTATTTTTATCCAAAGCAGAATGGCTTATAATTAAAAGACCAAACATTTATGCTGGGTTCCATTGTGAGAGAATTATTTATTCTTAGAAAAGCTACTGCTGTTTTTACTGTAGTATTTGACATTTTATGTTGTACTAGCTATATTTAACTAATCTGTTAATGGATCCACCACCATCTCGGCATGCACTGATCACTAAATAAAACCAATTAAACTTGTTAACTGAAAGACAAATGTAATTCCATTGGGCTCTCGTAACACAGACATAGAAGTGGAGGAAAAGTTTCTTAAAAAAGACAATGTGAGGGTGTGAAGCTCTCATTCCAGTTTGCATTTTTCCTTTTTTAAACCGTGACTATTGGAGGTAGTTTAAAAAAAAATCAGCAACAGACAGTCCACTTCTAGATGTTTCTATGACAATGAACCACGCTTCCAACTATTTTGTTACAGCAAAATCCGGCTACAGCAATTGAGCCAAACCAGCATCCCAATGCGAACAGAGTTCATTTTAAAAAAGGGTAATTTGACTCCTATTTCAGATTAGTTCTATGGATCCAATCTGAAGATCGGAGTTGTTCGGTCATTACAATCCATCTCCTACAAGTAGCAATCTGCTTTACAACTGGACAAGGCTGAAGAGCCCCAGGAAAAGAGAACACATTCTAAATACATCTACATGGAGCTTGTTGGAGAACAAAATTATTCCTGAAATGTGCATAACTTTAGTGGACTGGAGAGAGAGACTAAAGAACCCTTAACCCCAAAAGGGAAAAGTCGCCCACACTCCCATTGAGGCAGACATTTGCTTGGGCTTATTCTGAATATTCACACACACACACGCGGCTCCAACCTGGTTTATCCTAAAACTGAGGCTTTGCCTGTAAGAGCCCAGTGTGATCTCACTGTCTGTGTTACACATGAAAAATAATGGGCATTGTTCAGTGGAACTCATGGCAGGTGGAGAGCTGACTACAGCGTTGTTCTTATCCACAAACCCAGTTTGTGAGCAATCTCAGCCCGCGTGCCCAGCTCTAAGGAAAGGGGCTTTTTATGGTCCTAACGGGCTCCCGAGAGTGGACAAATTGAGGACGTGAACCCTCCTTGTGCACTGCCCAAGTCTTTTTGTATGTAGATCGCCACGTTATTCCAGGCAGCTACGGGCGTAACAGCAGGTTTACCCCGAAATCAAGCACAGCTCCCGCCAAGAAGGCACATTCCTCTGCCGCGCCACCCGGCAGGGTTGTGAACAGAAGCGGACTGGGCTAGCTCGCTTCCAGCTGTCATTCTACCCTGGTAACACACACCCGGCTTAGGGGGTGCGGGGCGAGAAATCCCTAGAGCCTAACTAGAAAAACCCCGCAAGTAACAGCAGGTTTACCCCGAAATCAAGCACAGCTCCCGCCAAGAAGGCACATTCCTCTGCCGCGCCACCCGGCAGGGTTGTGAACAGAAGCGGACTGGGCTAGCTCGCTTCCAGCTGTCATTCTACCCTGGTAACACACACCCGGCTTAGGGGGTGCGGGGCGAGAAATCCCTAGAGCCTAACTAGAAAAACCCCGCAACTCGCCTTCATGGTTCACCCGACGGTGACCAACAGCTGACCAGTTCAATGGGCAGGAAACAACTGCAGCAGACAATCGCCCCCACGTTCCGTGGGGCCCCCCACAA